AGGCAGCCAGACCTGAGGCCAGGGAGAGAGTGGACGAAGACCTCAAGAAGGACCATGAGTACCTGGCTGAGCTGAGGAGCTCTGCCTTTGTTCTGGGGGTGATGGGGAGCCACAGAGAAGTCAGAGCAGGGGAGCAGCACAGTCAGAAGTGGGTGGAAGAACTATTTCTCTGGAGCCCATGAGAAGGGCAGAGACGAGAGGAAAGAGGCTCGGGAGGAGGCTGGGATGGTGCCAGGCAGAAAGAGGATGAGGACTGAGGTGGAGCCAGGGGTGGAGGAGAGGAGACATTCAAGTTGGATCTTGAAGGATGAGTAGGAGTTCTTCAAAGATGGGAAGAAGGAATTCAAGGCAGCAAGAACAGCACAGTAGCATGTGCAAAGGGCCCGTGGCAGGACCATGCTGGGCTCATTTGAACATCAGAGAGCAGTGTGGTTGAGGAAAGGGATGGAGGAACAGGCTGCAGACATCAGCAAGTGGATGTGAGTGTGGAGGTGGAGGGAGGAGGCAAGGAGAGCCCCCCAGATCTCCGGTATTGGGGTGGGCGGTAGAGACTGGGGATAGCCCACTTACCCAGCCATGAGCCTGTGCCCACACTTTCCACCCTCAAGTCCCCAGCCTCAGTTTCCCCCATGTGGCCAATAGCACGGGTTGATCTGTGGGGCTCTAACAAGCTTGGGCCAGGATCCTTCCGAGACAGCAGGGCAGCAGTGCCAGGTGGGAGCAGGCAATGGCAGTGACATCAGCTTCCTTCTCGGTCCCCCCAGATAATCTGCACCACAACTACCTGCACCTCAACGTCGGCAGCCCCAAGCACCACGGCGGCGCAATGGGTACGGACGAGGGCCTGGGCTGCAAGGAGGAGCAGGGCTCCTTCCCCTCCCACCCTTGTATCGGGCCAGCCTGTGCCAGGTGCCCAGTAAAGAGCAGGAGTGAGACCCTGTGAGCCCGGCCCTCATGGCACTCACAGTCTGGCCAGGTCACCAAGTGAGCCTCAGGTTCCTCCTGTGGACACCGGAAGTGGTCATCTCACTCCCACCCGGGTTGTGGGGAAAATGCGTGGAGTGCACCCCCCAGCCTGGGGCCAGGCACTCAGTGGGCGCTGACAAATGTCAGGTGCTCCCTCCTGGGTCATGTCCCCTCCTCAGCAACAAGCCTGTCTCCTGTGGGGGGAATGAGGGAGGCTGAACTGCTGGAGTTTTGAGGGGCTGGAATCTCAGATTTCTAACACCCTGAGGATCAGCTGGGTCTGAGGGAGGAGTGGCTGGGGCTGGGGCCCCTGGGTCTGAGGGCGGAGGCGCTGACTGACCCTGGCCCTGCCCCCTCTGCCCCAGATTGGCGGGCCATGCCACCGCCCAGCCCCTCCTTGCACTACTCCACGCTGTCCTGCTCTCGGTCCTTCCACAACCTCTCGCATCTGCCCCCATCCTACGAAGCCGCTATGAAATCTGAGTTGAACCGCTACTCCTCCCTCAAGAGGCTGGGTGAGTCCTGGGAAGGGCAGTGGAGTTGTGACCAGGCGGGAACAGGGACAGAGTCCAGGTTCGGAACCATGGACAGTGGCCCGAGCACCCAGGCTTTTCTCCAAGTTTGTCACAGAATTATCTGGGGTGTTTTTTTATTGCAATTTTTTGCCCCCCCGAGACTCAGAGTATTCATTAGGACTTGTACTTGCAATTAATAGAAATACAATTTAAGCAAACAGCAACAACAATGAAAGATTACGTTGGCTTGATAATAGAAAGTCTACAGGGCACTTGCTTGCAGCATGGCTGGTCTGGGAGCTCAGAAGCTGTCTCCAGGAGCCCACAACTCTCAGCTCTGCTGTGCAGTCAGCTGGCCTCATTTGCAGACAGATTCTCCCCTCAGCCGGGGCAAAGATAGCCATGACAATTGGTCAGACTGCCATTCTACCAGCTTAGTAACCCTGGCAGAAAAGAGTCTCCCCCAAGGATTCCAGCAAAAATCCCAGGTCTGGGTCCCATTGGCCGAAATTGAGTTACGTGCCCATCCCTGAACCAATGCCTGTGACTCTGATTGGATATTTCCCAGTCTGTAGCCCACCCCTGGCAGTGGAGCAGCCTTCAAACATTTTAAACTATGAGCCACACTTGGAAACACTTTTTATATCATGACCCTTGTGATGCGCATGTATACATATTTTTTTTTAATTACAGGAAAGGTTTGAAACGTATTGTGGACACTTTAAACATACACAAGAATAGAGAAAATTATAAAATGAGCCCCATGTTCCCATCGTCCAGCCTTCGCAGCGAGCACCATTTTGTTAATCGATCCTCTGTCTGCCCCAACTTTTGGTGAATCCTTTTAAAACAAATCCCAGATATATGTCATTTCATCCTTTAATATTTCTATCACATGCATATCTGAAATAATTTAATGAAACTGCACTTACCCTTATTCCCCTATTATATGTACACCTTCTGATAGTTTTCTGTTCTATTTGGTTTTTTTCATTTTTCAAAATGCTGGTCATTACCCACAAAATTGCCTTCACAATCCACCCATGGGTCACCGCTCCAAGTTTGAAAATCACCGCTATAAGGATAGAAAGGAGCGGACGGCAGTTCCCCAAAAGCAAGAGTTGGATTGTACCCCCAAAAGAAGGGCTACTTGGAGTCAGGGAGAGAAAAAAGGAAGGGTCCCCCGCATCTGCTGGCCCAGCACTGTGGGCTGGGCCAGGAACCTGCGTGTTGGCCATACAGCTAGCCTGGCGGTTCTGATTGATTAAAATTTGGGGGTCAATGCTCTGTACCCAGGCTGATGACCAGGGCGTCCTGGGTGATGCCTGGGGTCCTTGCAGGGGATGGTACAGGATGGGAGGGGGCATGAGGAAGCCAGGGGGGCAGGAAGGCTCTGGGCCAGCAGGGGACCCCCCTCTGTGGCTTCTTCCCTTCTCCCCGCAGCCGAGAAGGACCTGGACGAGGCCTACCTGAAGCGCCGGCACCTGGCCGAGGTGCCCCGCGGAACGCTGCCCCTGCACACGCTGCGGCGACCTGGCACCGGGGGCGGCTACCGCATGGATGGCTGGGGCGGGCCCGAGGAGCTGGGCCTGACGCCCGCGCCCAACCCGCGGCGGGTCATGTCCCAGGAGCACCTGCTGGGCGACGGGGGCCGGGCCTCGCGCTACGAGTTCACGCTGCCACGCGCGCGCCTCGTGTCGCAGGAGCACCTGCTGCTGTCCTCGCCTGAGGCCCTGCGCCAGAGTCGCGAGCACCTACTCTCGCCCCCGCGCAGCCCTGCGCTGCCCCCCGAGCCCACCGCCCGGGCCAGCCTGGCCGCCTCGCACTCCAACCTGCTGCTGGGGCCCGGGGGGCCCCCCACGCCGCTGCACGGGCTGCCGTCGTCCGGCCTGCACGCCCACCACCACCACGCCCTGCACGGCTCGCCGCAGCCGGCCTGGATGTCCGACGCCGGCGGGGGCGGGGGCACGCTGGCGCGCAGGCCGCCCTTCCAGCGCCAGGGCACGCTGGAGCAGCTGCAGTTCATCCCCGGCCACCACCTGCCCCAGCACCTGCGCACTGCCAGCAAGAACGAAGTGACGGTCTGAGGCCAGGGCCGGGGACTGGGGGTCCGCGGCCTCCCGGGACCCCCGTCCCAGCCTGGACCCCCCGACACAGGTTCGCACGCTGCAGGGGCCTGAGACCAGATCCGCCCTTGGATGGGAGGCAAAGCCTCCGTCGGCGTGTCAGGGCGGCCAAGATTCCTCTCCCATTACTCACTGTTTGAGCCAAGGCCTCCTTCCCATGATGTCATTACAGAAGAGGCCCACCCATGACGGCACCGCTAGCAGAAATGTCTGTGTTCTGTGGTGTCATCACAGGGACAAAACCTCCTTTCCATGAGGTCATCACAGAGGAAGAGGCCTGCCTATGAGATCATCACTCAAGGCCATGCCTACGCTCTGTGGCATCATCACAAAGACTGCCTTCCTGTGAGGTAACAGCAGAGATGATGCCTTGTCCCATGACGTCATTCCTAGAGACAAAGATTCCTTCCCATGATGCCATTGTAGAGACAAGTCTCACCCCTACGCTGTCTTCTCTAGCTCTAAGGCCTCTTTTGGCATCATAGTCATGGAGGAAATACTTTCTTCCTGTTTCTTCACTGCAGAGAAGGTGCCTCTGTCCTATGATGTCATCGCTACAGACAAAGCCATCTTGCTGGGACACAGGGGAGAATACCTGATTGTGTCCTCACTAGAGATAAGGCCCTTTCCCCATCATCATCACAGGGACCCTGGCTCCCTCCTGTGATGCCGTCACCAGAGAAGGTGCCTTGCCCTATGACATCACCAGAGGGACCGTGCCTCTTCCTGTGATGTCATCGCCAGAGATGACAGCCCCCTCTGGGACCTCTCCAGGATGAAGCCCCTTCTGTGATGTCACCACCAGATGCTACATGCTCTGAGATGACACAAGGAGACACCTCCACTGCTGCCGCCATGTCCTAAGAAAGCAGGGCGTCCCCACTCTGGGGAAGATGCCAGAGAAAGTGCCCTGTGTGAGATGTCATCTGAGGGGTGCATCACTGGGGAGGTCACCCCCATGGAGAGGCCTACTCCAGAGATGAGGGTCTGTGTGTGGATTGGCGGTAGTGACGCTTCTGCCCCCAGTACTGTGACGTCATCACCAAGCGCTTCCTCCTCGGAGGCAGTGCCCACTCTGGCCACCATCACTGCCAGTGGTGTCGCAGTTTCTGCCTTGTCCTGCCATGACTCAGCTTTGTTGCTCCTTCCCCCAACCCCGAGGACATGCCCAACAGCATCTCCATCAGACCCTCTGAAGGGAGATGGGGCCTTGGGTCCTGCCTCTGTGCAGCAACTCTGGAGGGACAGAACCCCAGACAGGCTTCTGCTCCCAGGAGTCATGGGAGTCATGGGACTCCAGCTGGAGTCATGGGACTCATAGGTGGCCCAAAGCCTGGCCTCACTTCTTTCTGCCATATATAGAGACATCATTGCCTCTGTCAACAAAGTCCTGGCCTCCTACTGGGGGGAGGGGCTTGGGGTGAGCCTGCTATTGACCTTGCTGATGACATTATTAGCGCCACATTACGCCCACCACTCATGATGGCATTCCACCTGGGGTCAAATGTTACCCATGTCTGATGACGGCAGCATTTCCCAGGATTCCCTATGACCCACCACAACTATGGTATCATCCTCTTCCAGCATTGACCATGACTAATATTGTCATAATCTCCCAACATTCCCCATAACCAATGTCACCATCTTCCATGATTCCCCACAGCCATGGTGTCATCGCCTCCCAGGATCCACCACAGCCATGGTGTCATCATCTCTCAGATTCCACCATGACCAATGATGTTATTATCTTTCAGAGTCCACTATGCCTGATGGTGGCATCCTCTACTGAAATCCACTGGGACTGATGATGCTACCATTTCCCATAATCTCTCATGATTGTGGTGTCATCACCTGCCAAGATTGAACCATGCATGGTGTCATAACCTCCCAGGATCCACTTCGACCATGGTGTCATCCCCTCCCAAGATCCTCTTTAACCATGTGTCTCATGTCTCAGGATCTACCATAGCTTTGGTGTCATAACTCCTAGGACCCACTTCAACCATGTGCCATCACCTGCCAGGATCCATGAGAGTCAATGATGTCTTCATCTCCTGGGACTCACTTCAACCATGGTGTCTTCATGTCCCAGGATCCATGAGAGCCATTGGTGTCATTACCTCCCAGAATCCACTTCAACCATGGTGTCATCATCTCCTGTGATCCATGAGATCTGATGATGTCATCATCTACTAAGATCCACCATAACCATGGTGTCATCATCTCCCAGGATCCACTGCAACCATGTGCCACCACCTTCCAGAATCCATCATCTTAGAGGCCAAGTACATCACGATGGGCTGTATGGCAGCTGTCCTCTGGGGTTGCATGGTACTTACAGTTGTTCCCTTAAGGGGAGCCAGCACAACATGCCATTTTCCCATTTCCGCAAATGGACGGGGGAGGGGCCAGCTGTCCCCCTTTGATGACATCACCCCCACTCTGGCCCTTCTTGATTATGTCACTGCCTCACTCCTGACCTACAATGATGCCTGGATCAACCCCACCATAGACTTGGCCTCAGCCAGCCTCCTCCCCCCGCCAGGTGAGGGCATCCAGATCCCTCCTGATAACATCACTGCCCCTCACCCAGCCATCTGCTCAGTGACAGGGTCAACCCATGAACTCCCATCATCACCAGAGGTGGGGCTTTCCAGCCCTCGGATGACATTACTGCCCCTCGCCCAATCCCTCTTAGCTGGACCCCTACCAGGATAAGCACTGCGCCAGCTCAGGCCACACTCTCCTCGGAGATCCCTGACCACTGCAGGAAGGGCCAACAGCTGGTGACTGACCTGGGGCCTTCAATGCTATTAATATCTTCTGCTGGCCTGGTCCTGGGGCAGGCACACCTGGAGGGCAGTAGTCCCTGCCAGCACTTTCTCTGGGTGCCAGGGGTGCTCCTCATCTCTCTCCCTAACACCCTAACACACCAGGCACCTCCAGGGGCTTCGGGGAGACCCTAACACACATCGTCCCCAATGCACAATTTGCCCTTAATTCTCTTTGTACATAGCCATGTTGCGGGGGCGGCCATTCCCCCACTCTTAAAGGGCTACATGCCCCCCTCTCCCAGTCCCCAGGGCGAGGTGGGGGGGGCCTCTTCTTCCTCCCCTAGGCCGTCCCCCTCCCTCTTATGTCTCCCCCCTAATACTAGCACCTCAGTTTATCCCTCCTTGCGTGGAGTCTGGGGCAGACAATTGGTTCCCACCACACTGAGGAAGCTGGGGGGCTACCCCAGTCTACCTAGGCCCCGTGCCAGCTTTCCAACCCCATTGCTTCTAGCTGCTCCGAGGGGCTCCCCTCACCCCTCTTAAGGCCTCCCCAAGCCCAGCAGGGCTCAGGCAGACTGTGACATCCCTGAAAGGAGCCAGCTCAGGCACCCACCCCCTCCTCTCTGCTCAACACCCCCAGGGAACACTCAGCTTTCTCCAGCCCCCGGAATGTAGAGGCTTGGGGCCTTTCAGCTTTCGTATGCCCCCCTCCACTTGCTCTCCCCGTCTGGATGCCAGGAGTCCCCCACCCCAGCCCACCCCCATTCGCTCGGCACAGGCTGCCTGACCCTGGGGCCTTGATTTGATCTCAAATAAGCCATAGTGGGGAGAGGTCTCCAGGGCGTGACAGCAGGCATGTCCTGCCAGTCCCCCTCCATGTTTCCTGAGCTGGGACCTCGACATCTGAGTCTTCCTCCACTCCCCCCAGTAGATGCACACCCACACATGCGTGCACACCCACACACAAACACGCACGCTCAGGCAAGCATCTCCCCTTCAGCTGGGGGCCGTGGGAGGGGGGCGGTTCTGAGAGAGAAGAGAAGCAGTTTGGGACCAGAAGACCCTCCACAGCTGTGCCTCCCCCTCAACTTCTCTCCATCTCTCCAACACTAGCGCCTTCCCCCAATCCCCTGGTGAGGACAGCCGGAAGAGCTGCGACTTGGTATTTTTTGGAATAAATAGATGTTTTCCTGATCCGAGGTCTCAAGGTTTACTGTTGGAAGAGGACGGGTTTCCACCCTGCACATGTGGCTGAGCGTGGCAGGCGCTGCCAGCGGCCGGTCTGCAGTTTGCCACGGGACGGGCTTCTAAGTGTCTGTTCCCAGGTGAGGGTCCATCGCCAAGCTGAGGAGTCAGGGGCGGGGGTGTGCATTGTAAGCTGCTTTTAAGTTCTGGGTTTCTTCCTAAGAAAGCCCTCCCCTCTCCCAGCATGTAAGCATTTTTTTACAGATTCCAGAGGTCACCCCCGTATATTTGAATTCTTTGGTTCAATAACATTAAAGCGCATGTGTGTGTGGGCGGGCAGAGTGTATTGGTTTCCCAGGATTACAAATTGGGTGGCTTAAACTACAGAAATCTACTGTCTCACAAGTCTGGAGGCTAGAAGGGGGAGATCGAGGTGTCAGCAAGATTGGTTCCTTCAGGGTTGGTTCCTCCTTCTGGTGAGGGGGTCTGCTCCAGGCCTCTCTCTGACTCCTGGTGTTTTGCTTGGCATTTCTTGGCTTGCAGATGTGGTCTTCCCTGTGTCTACATGTCGTCTTCCCTCTGTATGTGTCTGTGTCTGTGTGTGTCCAAATTCCCCCTTTGTATAAAGAGACGAGTCATGTTAGATTAGGGCCTCCCCTAATGACCTCATCTTAACTTGCCCATCTGCAGAGATTCTCTTCCCAGATAAGGTCACAGGTCACGGCCACGGGAACTGGGTGGTTAGAACTCCAACATCTTTTTTTCTTTTTTGAGAGAGAGAGTCTCACTCTGTCACCTAGGGTAGAGAGTGCAATGGTGTCATCATAGCTCACAGCAACCTCAAACTCCTGGCTTCAAGCAATCCTCCTGCCTCAGCCTCCTGAGAAGGTGGGACTACAGGCATGAGCCATCACGCCCAGCTAATTTTTTCTGTTTTTAGTAGAGACAGGGGTCTCGCTCTTGCTCAGGCTGGTCTCGAACTCCTGACCTCAAGCAATCCTC